GGTTCTGATGCTGTTGTGGGGACTGGATAAAGGCACAAAGGCAAGTCTATCAAAACCAATTTGTCTTGAAGAGCCAGTAGAATTTCTTGGTTGAAGGTAGCATGCCCTCTAAATACAATTGCAAGAGAGGGGTATGTTGTTTCATCTTCTTGTTTGTCAACACCTAGGAGGCATCTGCTTGGCCACTGTGAGAAACACAACGCTAAGTTGAGGTGGGACTTGGCTTGGTCCAACAGAGTTGTTCTTATGAGAATAAAACAAGGAAGATCTCATTGTGAAATGCCTTAAGATCCTAGAACGGAAGGAAGGAAGACGAAAGGAGAATGAAGAGGGTAGGAAAAGGAAGGAAGGAAGGAAGGGAGATTATAATGTGAGTGAGGGAGGGTCTGAATGAAGTCCTACCTTGGCACTTGGCCACCACAGGTCCCTGATACGAGTGACGTCGAGCTGGCCATGCCCATCCCAGCCACGTCCACCCTGGCCACACCTACCCCAGCCACACCCACCCCGAGGTCAAACACAACCCTGATGCAGCCCTCAGTGAAATCGAGTTTGACACCCCAGTCCTAGAAGGAGGCTGTGATATAAATTAGGAGGAAGAAGGAAAAGATCAACATCACCATTCCATGAAAGTAATCAATCTGACAGTTGAATTCAAGTGGCTGCCTCTGCAGCAGGTTTCAGAGAGAAAGGCTAATTTAGGGAGCCCCGATTAGGCTGTACACTTACAGCGCAGTCTTGTAATTCCTTACTTTTACAATCCATCCGATTTTAACTGCTTAGAGTCTTTATTGCACTGTGCTCATTACAGCTGACCTAGATTCTCAGATATTGAATCTCAATTCGCGGCTTATTCTCCCTGTTAGCAGCCATATCTTAGCACATTTTTAGATGCCCCCAAACGGTCTATTAAACAGCCTTCTTCCTGCAGATTAATATGTAATCGCTCGTATATATGTATACATTTAATAATGTATAAAGTAATTGATATAATTGCAAGATAGTGCTCATCATACTCAAATAAAAAAATGTGACTCATCCTTTCCCAGATATCACCGGCTTACAATATAATTTTCAAGCATTAGCTGCATTTCGTTTAACAGCATGAGGTTATACTGTAACATTCATCTTTCTGTTTGCTTAGATATTTCTCATTCGCGGGATCAGCTCTAACAGCAGAAAAGCGTTCACAAATGTTTAATCGTATCTCCTAGCCCCAAATTTCTCCTCCTGCCCTTCCCAACCAACTAAGTTGTCTTAAATTCTAACTTTCATCATCCCAATCAATACAGAAAGGAGGTCTATCATCCCTACTCTGTTTAGGAAAACTCTTGTCCTTGGAAACTGGATTAGAATACATGGTTAATCGCTGAGATTTCTTTCAGTTATTTAATTGATTGTTGGTTTTCTCTGGCCTTTTTTTGAGGGTGGGTGGGTTTGCAGATAGTAAACAATCCAGCTACAGGTAGTCCTCGATTTACAACCACAATTGAGCCCAAAAATTCTGTTGCTCAGTGAAACAGTTGTTAAGTGAGTTTTGCCCCATTTTACGACCTTTCTTGCTAAGTGAACCACTGCAGTTTTTAAATTAGTAGAACAGAATAGAATGAATGTGCTGGAAGGGACTTTGAAGGTCTTCTAGTCCAGCCCCCTACTCAAGCAGGAGAACCTATACTATTTCAGATAAGTGACTGTCCAGTCTCTTCTTTAAAGCCTCCAGTGACAGAGCAACCCACAATTTCTGAAGGCAAGCTGTTCTACTGGTTACCGTACTTTTCGGAGTATAAGACACACTTTCCCCCCCTATAAGAGGGTGGAAATGTTGGTGCGTCTTATACACCAAATACAGCCATGTTTGGCCTCCTGAAACCTCACCCCACGTGTCCCATTTTTGCCAAAAACAGGCCGGTTTTTCAAAAAAACCAGGGCATTTCTACCCTCCCCAGCCCCCAGGAGCACTCTGCAGGCCTCCCAAACCCTCTGCATGTCCTGTTTTCATAAAAAATGGGCCCGTTTTTTGGCCTCCCAAATCCCCCATGCGTCACATTTTTGCCTTCCCCAGCCCCCAGGAGCACTCTGCAGGCCTCCCAAACCCTCTGCGCGCCCCGTTTTTGCAAAAATGGGACGCACAGAGGGTTTGGGAGGCCTGCAGAGTGCTCCTGGGGGCCAGGGAGGGCAAAAAAAAATTTCTTGTTTACCTCTTCGAAATCTTGCTGCGTCTTATACTCCGGTACGTCTTATAGTCTGAAAAATATGGTAATTGTCCTCACTGTTAATTGTCCTCACAAGTTTCTCCTTAATTCCAGGTTGCTTCATTCTTTGATTAGTTTCCAATCATTGTTTCTTGTCCTTTGGAGAATAATTCGACCCCCTCTTCTTTGTGGCAGCCCCTCAAATACTGGAATACCATGCTACCATGTCACCCTTAAGTCTTCTTTTCCTTAGACTAGCCAAGCCCAAATCCTGCAGCAGTTCTTCAAATGTTTTAGTCTCCAGGCCTTTGATCATTCTTAGTCGCTCTTCTCTGAACTTTTTCCAAAGTCTCAACATTTTTTTTGTAGTTATGGTGACCAAAATCAGTTGCATTATCCCTGGTGTGGTCTTACTAGGGTTTTATATAGCGGTAATAATACTTCACATGATCTTGATTTGATGCCTCTGTTTATGCAACCCAGGATTGTATTAGCTTTTTTGGCTGCTGCTGCAGACTGCTGGCTCATGGTTACAATAACATGGTTACAGCAACATGGTTGTAAAGTGAACCAGACTTCCCAGTTGACTTTGTTCATAAAAAGTTGCAAAAGGGAATCCCATGACTCCCTGGACACTCTCATAAATATGAACCAGTTGCCAAATATCTGAATTTTCACACGTGAAAATTTGTGGTTCTCCAGCAGCCTGCAGAGCTGACAGCTGAGTCGGACAGCGATGAGGCTGAGGAAGAACATGGGCCAGTCCTGGAGGCTGGGGAAGGCCCGGATGAGGGCTCTGCGTCAGAGGCAGAGATGGGGCCAGGGCCATCGGGGAGTGATGTGCGGACTCCGGAGCCTCCAGAGGCTGATAGTAGAGAGGCAGAGGAACAGGAGGAGCCTGTTCCTAGTGCACGTATGAGAAGAGCTGCCAGAAGGCAAGAGCAGCTAAAGCAAAGAGGACAACTCGGGAATAGGGCCAAGAGATGACTGGCCCGCCCCATAAGGCTTAAAAGACCAGCAACAGCTCTTGGGCTCTTTGTCGGAAAATAATGTTGATAGTCTTGCTGCACTTATCTCGTCGGTGTCTTCTGCTTTTGAACTTTTGCTAAGAGAAGCTTTTGATAGTTTGCCTAATTATACCAAGGTTGGTGATTAGACTGAAGAATTTGTGTTATGAAGAATTTGTTTTGATTTAGTTTGGACTACACTGAAAAGGAGTTAATTCTCAGCTGTTCTAATAAAGTCTGTTTGTTTTGGAACTGTTTGCATCGATTACTACCTACTTGGGCCTGGGTTACAACAATGAGGAAGCTGCAAAGATTGTGTGAAAAACTATTGTGTGAGTCACTTTTTCCAGTGCCGTTGTAACTTCGAATGGTCACTAAAGGAAAGGCTGTACACATTCTGTGGGTTCTATTATTCTTCATGATTACATGCTGCAAGTCACCCAGAATTTTACAGACTGACCTATAAATTGAATCAGCAAAGAAACCAACTACAAGCAATCTTCGAGTTATGATCACAACTGAGCCCAAAATTTCAATTGCTAAGCAAGGCAGTTTGTTGTGGCCCGTACGCGGCCTTTGCAGCTAGTAGCTGATTCAGACAGCAAGGAGGCTGGTGTGGTGCTGCACCAGCAGCTTGTGCAGCTGGCACTCGGGTTAGACAATGAGGAGGCTGGAGAAGATGTGGTGCCAGAGGCGGGGATTCAGCCAGGGCCTTCAGAACCTCCAGAAGCTCCCTTAAGTGAAGAGAACAAAGAGGAGGAGCCTCTTCTTGATGCACAGGTGCACAGAGCTGCCAAAAGGCAGGAGCGTCTCCTCAGGAGAAGTCTCCTCGAGAGTAAGGCTTGGGGCTAATTGGCCACTCCCTTAGCCTATTTAAGGAGGAACGCCAACTGAAGCAATTTGCAGGGAACAACTTCATTCACACACCTTTGTGTCTTGTCTTGCTTACCTTATCAGCTTCCTGCAAATTGCTTCTGGGCATTCTGCCAACCATAGTAAGTTTTCAGTTATTATTCTTTGAATTCTTGGCGGCTGTTAATGCAGTTAATTAACAGCCATTGTTGTAAAAGACTGGTTTATTTAGTAAACTAAGGTTTAAACTTTGTGTGTGCTGCGTTCTTTGGGGTCCGTAATTGGGGCAGAACATAGTTGTTAAGTAAGTCTTGCCCCGTTTTACGGCTTTCTTTCTTTTCTTTTCTTTTCTTTTGCCACAGCTGTTAAGCGAATCGCTGCAGTTGAAAGTGACTCATGAGGCCATTAAGCAAATCTGGCTTCCCCCATTGACACTGTCATAAGAAGCCTTCTGGGAAAGTTATAAAAGGTGTTCACATGAATGACCTCGGTGGCGTGCCAGGTGCCAAGCGCCTGAATTTGACCATGAGGATATTACCAGTGTGAAAAACAGTCACAAGTCACTTTTTTCAGTGCCATTGTAGCTTTGAACGGTCACTAAATGAATAGTTGTATGTCAAGGACTACCTGTAATAGATCTGGAGGTCAACCAGGGTGAAAAGGGGTGGTTTACTTTGAACCATTTCAGAGGGTGCCAGGGAGTGACTATAATCCTGGGCATTCTACATGCAAAGCATAACTTGTACCATTGAATTGAAGTCACACCGTATTTCCCTATGCATTTAAGTCGTATTTAGACATGAAAATATTGCCCAAATGCTCTCAGTTGAAAATTCCGTGCTGCATTCACGGACCGTACATAACTCTGAAAGCGGCATGGAAATGAATTAAAATGAAGGGAAATAAAGTTTGAATTCAAGCAGGGAAACACACCCAGGCAGACTGGAAATGCGAGACAGATTGTGAAATAATATTTGAGTACAGCACAAAGTGGTATGTGTGGGCATCAATGAAAGTGGAATAAAGAACAAAGTCTTCCAACTTCCTGTCTCTTTTGTGGGATTTGCAGGCTGATCATTTTCTTCCTCTTAGAAACAGGGCGTTTAATTGCATCCTTGGAATAAAAGAGAAAGAAGAGTTGAAAAGAAGTTGAATATACAGCTGTACTTACTAAAGATCTTTGTTATAATACGTTTGACATAACTCCTGATCATTTTTCCTTGGGCGCTCAAGTGTCACAATGAGTTATTCTCCACACACGTGCGCACATGAATGCACAAACACACACACACAATATTAGAGACTGGAAAGGCAACTGCATTCCAGCCAAAGGTCATGGTTTCATCTTGAAGAAAAATGAGTGAAAGTAGATAATTGCATTCTTCAAATATCTAAAAGGACGGCAGAAAGAAAATGATCAAGACACGTTCTTTGCGGTCGTAGAGAACTGGACACCAAAACCATCTATAAATGAAAGGAGATTTCAGATGATTATTGATACTCCTCACTTACCAATTACCACTTTTGAGAATGGTTCAAAGTTACTATGGCACTGAAAAGTAGGTTTATTAGCAGTTCTTGAACTTGTATTGTTACAGTCATATGACTGCCATTTGTGACCTTCTGGCAAACAAAGTCAATGGGGAAGCCAGCAGGAAGTTGCATCTCACAGTTATGGTCATAGAGTCACAGTCACATATCATGTAAGCGGTTTACAGAGTCAGCATATTGCCCCCTACAATCTGGGTCCTCATTCTACCGATCTCGGAAGGATGGAAGGCCGAGTCAATTTTGAGCCGGTGAGAATCGAACTGCAGAACTATAGGCAGCTGGCAGTCAGCAAAGTAGCCTGAAATACTGCATTTTAACCACTGCGCCACCACGGCTCATGATTGATGACCTGTGGTAATTAACAATCTCAGAAGAACTAATGTTGTAGGTCCAGTGTGGTCATGGGATGTTTCACTTAGCGATATTGTCGCTTCAGCAACTGTGGTTGGTAAGTGAGGACTACCTATATTAGGAACAATTTCTTCAGTAAAAAAAAAATTGGACAATGGAAGCAAATACTGAGCAAGATGATGAATTCCTCTTGACCAGATGTATTCAAGCAGAGGCTAGATAGTCTTCTGTCTAAAATGCTTTGATCTGGACTCCTACACTGACCAGGGAATTGGGCTTGATTGTCTAATGATCCAATACTATCTTTCTGTGGCTGATGTGAAAGTTTTAATCTTAAAGTCAGGAAGTGATGAGAATCAGATAAGCGAGAACCAGTTGGGAAGTAATGAGAATCCAAACGTCCAACTTCTGAACTGAAAAATAAAACGATACAGGAAGCCAGAATTCCTGTCTGTGACTTGACAGTAGTTTGCTCATTCAGCAACAAAGTTTAGCAGCATATCAAGGTCTCCATGCTCTTTTATGTTTAGGCCTTGTTGTTTGTGTGTATGTAAACATTGTTTACAATGTTAACAATGCCTAATGCTTTTTAAACATTGATAAAATTGCTTTCCCAGTGACATTATGTCTATTATCCCTTGTGGAAAGGGTGTGTCTGAGAACAAATAGTTTACCACTGCTGTGTAATGAATGGGGAGTTAGATCTGGGAACGTGACTCACCTCTACCTCAAATTGAAGCAAAAGTTTAGCTTGCTAGATGGGTACTTTTGTGGTATTCGAAGAGCTTTAGGTCTGGCTCTGGGAAGAACCAATTTGGATTTATAATACCACTATCTGCCAGACTGCAATCTCAACATATATTTGCTAGGAACAAAGTCCCTCTGAATTCATTGGGTTTAATGACCAAGGAAGTCATAGAGAGATCAAACTACACCGTGGCGATCCTTAAACATGCCGAGCAAGAAATGAGTTCTTCCAAATCCAGTGAGACATTTTGGATTAAATCTGCTGAAAAATTACACGCTCCCTTGGCACATACTATGATATGTCAGCAGACGACGGGTTTCAGCAAAAAAGAAGAAATGCCCAAAGGAGGAAGAAAGCCTTACGCTGATGTGGTAGATGGAAGAGACGTGATTTTTCTCTCCTTTCTGTTTGCCATGATTCACATAGATTGCATTCGACCACATAGAGATTGTTCCCTACAGTTGCTGCTGAACAAGCTAATACTGCCAGACTTCAAACTTTTAACACTCTTCTGTTTAGAAAGCACAACTAGTTAAGATAAGGTCACAGAAAGGCCTGCTAGCTTTATAGGACTTTGAATATCATTCTTATGAGTAATAATATTGCAGCTAGGATCATTTCAAATGCAAGAACTGAAAGCAGGATATAAAAATAAGTAGTGGATGAGTCCTTAGAAAAAACAGCAGAACAGCAGAAATGGCAGAATGCATCAGGGTATTGCATTACCCTGAAAATATTGCACAACCCCATCCCTCTTTCTGGACTTTATTAATTAAACCCAGAGTTTCAGGCTCAAACTTAAACCTCACTATTTTCCTTCTTCTTGTGCCATCTGTCATCGGACGTTGGCAATCATGTTGGCGATCCTATTTTTATCAACATCCGCACAAAAAAGTGCTGCTGAGTTTTGTCCAAACCAGTCCCTTAGATTTTGAAGCCATGATGTTCTTCTTCTGCCTGGACCTCGTTTGCCTTCAATCTTTCTCTGGAGGATTTTTTTTTTAATTTGATTTATATGCCGCCCTTCTCCGGAGACTCAGGGCGGCTTACAATGCGTTAAGCAATAGCCTTCATACTTTTGTATATTTATACAAAGTCATCTTATTGCCCCCACAAACTGGGTCCTCAATTTACCTACCTTAGAAAGGATGGAAGGCTGAGTCAACCTTGAGCCTGGTGAGATTCGAACTTACAGTAATTGCAGACAGCTGGTGTTAATCACAATGCTTTTAGTCTGCTGAGCCACCAGGCCCGATTAAATGAAGGATACCGTATTTTTCTGGGTGTCGCATCACATGTCCAAAATATTCTAACTTTCACTTTTTAATGGTTTTGATGATTTCCCTTGGCTTTCCCAGGCGGCTTATCATCTCCTCATTTCTGATTTTGTCAACCCATCTTATACATAACAACCGTCTGTAAATCCATATTTCAAAAGCTTCTAATCTCTTCAAGTGGCTTTCTGTCAGAGACCAACTCTCTACTCCTTAGAGTAGGATAGAAAAGGTGTAACATCTGACAAGCCTGATTTTCAATTTTCGGCTTATGTCGTGACCTTTTTCATTTTGAAGAATGCTGTTTGACCTTTCTCTATCCTTGTCTTTACTTCAGTGGTCAAGTCCCAGCTTTCATGCAAATTAGAACCAAGGTACGTGATCCTTTCAACTTTCCCCTCACTGCTGTTCAACATCTGTATGGTGAGATCATCCATCTTTAGTTCTGAATGAGGTTGTGCTTCTCCAAATAGAACTGACTTGCGATTTGGGAATCCTCTTGGACTCACAGCTCTGCTCCACAGATAACAGCTTGTCTTTGCTGATCTCCATCTTGCGCACCAAGCCCTTTCTTGATATGGGAGACTTTACTCATGTCACTCATACCTCAGTCAGCTTTTGAATGTACTCATGGAATGTGTTCTGCACAGGGCTGCCCTTGAAAGGAATTTGGAAGCTACGGCTAGTCCAGAATACAGGGGCTTGAGTAATTATGGGAACACCGATATATCACCTCTACTTCAATAACTGAACTACCGTATTTTTCGGAGTATAAGACGCACCTACCTTTTTTGGTGAGGAAAAGAAGAAAAAGAAATCTCCCTCTGCCTCTGCACAATTTTGCCTTGTTGCAGCAAACAGCAAACAGCCTGCTTTACTTTCATTTTCGTTTTCAGCATAGCTTGATTAGCACAAGGGAAAAAAATCTGCTCCAGCAATTTACCTCTTTGCAGCAAGCAGCAGAGCCCTGGACAAAACAACTGAGAGCAAATCAGCCGAGAGTTGGGAGGCCGATCCAATCAACTTGTGCTAATTAGGCTGTGCTGAAGCTGAAAGGAGCTGTTTTTTTCTTGCTGTTTGCTTGCAAGGAGGTAACTGCTACGAGGCAGAGGCCAAAGGGTGGGAGCCAGTGGGTGGGCAGGGCTACATTCGGTGTATAAGACGCATCTAAATTTTCACCCCCTTTTAGGGGGGGGAAAGGTGCATCTTATATTCCGAAAAATACGGTAGTTGCCAGATGGCTTCTGGGTGCAATTCAAAGTGCTAGCTCCCATCTTTTAAGAGGCCCTTGGTTTAGGTGCTGGATATTGTGGGGCTATCTTCTCTCAATAACATCTGCTTGTTTGCCAAGATCTAGAAGAGTGGGCCCCCATGTATCTCCTTTTCATCAGAGATAACTACCCACATATATTTTGAATTGATGTCTCCCTCTTCAGGAATTTGGGTGCTCCCCTCTCTTTGTATTGGGTTCTTCAGAAAGTTTGTAAAGACCAGGCTAATTTACAGCTACCATGACTATTTGGATGAATAATTATTTTTAATTAGGTTTTTTGGAATATTTGATTCCTGACTTTGGTTTTGGTTTTTATTATTATGTATTCATTTTAATTCGAAGTACAGATTTAAGGGAGTGTTACACTGTTCGGAATTGGTTGATTGGGGCAGCTTGTAAGCCAAGCCAATAAGTAAATAATTAAATAAAGGAGGTTTTGGGGGGGGGTGGAAATGGTGACAATATTTTCTTACAGGCTAATTTTTACTTCATACCCCAATTACTTACCTTTTCCTATAGCTCTACCAGCCCTAGAAGGAATTGTAAGTGTCTACATATTTTCCTCTTGTAGATGAAAAACAACATGGAGTCTAATTAATTTTCAAGAGGAACATCAGTTCTAATACAACATATTAAATTTAGTGAATTCTCTCGAGGCTACTTTTGGTATTTAAAAAATGTTAAGTAGAAGATATATATGATTATGTTTCTCATTTGGTTGGGGCCTTAATTGGATTGCCAAATTTAAAACTGGTCTACAAGCTGGAACCTGGTCTACATCTTTGCATGCTCATAAAGAAAAAGTAAATATATAGGTGTATCTCTTGAAAAAAACCAGGATAATTATTGTCTTGAATGTTACTTCATTAGATTCATCTCTGTTAGACAACTAAAATAGGCTGTACTGAACAAAAGAA